CTATTGCAACCCATCACTTCAGCAGCACTATTTAGAAAAGATGTTTTATAAACACAGTTAACAGAAATCTTGTCTTTTAGAGTGAGCAGAACCATAAGCAATGGGAGGCATGAAGAGTAGTGGCGCTCATCAGACACTGCAATCAAATCAGTATTTCTTCACTAGAGAACCCAGGTCTTTAAATTTGCAACATAAAAAGAGTCCTTCTGAAGATGCCCTATGCTCACTCTTCATAATGGAACTTAAGCAAGCTGCTACTGCAAGGAGACCACCACAGTGGCTAGCAAGTTTATCAGTCCTTGAGGACATGGCCATGGCAGAATTAATCACTCCAAAGACAGTCTGAACCCTGAACTTCTCTGATGATCAACAATGGTAAGTGATGGATGTGTGAAAGCCCCAAAGCAATATGGCTTTTATTGACATAACTAAGGGAGAAAACCCATTTTGGTGGCTCATGACAGTTAAACAAGCCTAGGATGTCATACATGTCCTTGCAGCCCCGCTCATCCCTGGCACCTCCAAGCCTCTCTCTGCAAGGGATCTTATGAACTGCAACATCTTCCTGTACCTCCAGTCTGGACTGCTTCTGCAGGCAGCCTTGCTTCTCCTTCAGGGTTTGTTGAGTGGCTCATCTCAAGCTATTCTCTATTTTGCTTGTCCACTGTTCTTGCCACTATGTGCATGCACCCGCCTACTGTCAGCCTCTTTGTGCCTGTGGAGTTTCTCCTCCAGTCTGGCAGCAGACTTTTTTCCTGACACCCGTGACTTCTCTGGCATAGAAAATCAGGGTCCTGCCACACCAGTGTCACCAGACACGCAGCACAGCAGTAAAACCTGGACTTCAGTCCCCCTCTGCCAGTTTGGTGTTCTGGGCTTCTCGAAGCAGGCTGAGGGCCAGCATGTAAAGTCACCTTCCCCATGTCTGCATGGAGGTGTTACCTTGATGTAGTGCTATTCCCAGACGGACAATCTGTTTTATAACCCAGGATTTAAAGCACAGTGACATTATCAGTTGATTATTTGGGAGGGGAAAAAAAAAAAAAGCACATACCTCCTCCTTGTTCAGGAACACATGGCCTTCCCTCTGGCACATTTTGGGTTTATGGCTGATTTTGGTGGGTCTAGCGACAGCTGGGGGGCAGCCCTTGCTCAGGGGTGGCCAACTCCTTTGTCCACCAGGGACACTGGAGCAGAGATCATTCAGGCGTGGGCAGAGGCAGGCAGGTAGCAGGCAGGCAGTGGGACATGGGGGAGCAATGCTGTGCCTGGGTCACAGCAGCAGTGGTGGTGAGCAAGCAGGGCAGGGCAGCAGTAGCGGCACAGCAGGGAAGTGCTGTCATGTCTGGCCTTGCCTCGCCTGTGCCCTACCTGTACCAGCAAGGGGATGAGACAGACACATGGAGATGAGGGAAGAAGGCACTGCTGTCCCACCTCTCTGCTGGTTTTCACTAGGGACCTCCACGGGATTTTGTTTTTACATGGCACTGCTGATGTTTCTCAGATGGGAACACACTGAAGGTACTGGTCCAACATTTAACTAGAAAGATTAACCAGAATGTGCTCTAAGACACCACAGCTGTAGATGGGGAGCACAGGACATTGCCAGCTCGGTATGACAGCTGTATGTCTTCTTCTTCCTCAGATCCACATGGACACACTAGAGCTGCCTCCCCCAGACTGTTGCTCCCAGCACCACCCAATTCTCTGCTCCCCCACTGCTACCTACAGTGCAGCTGAAACAACATATGGGTTTTACTAGCCAGGATCTGCTCAACAACAGTGTTGGCCAAAAAAAAAACCAAACCAAACCACCAAAAAACCAAACCAAACCAAACAACCCCCCAGAAAACAACTATGAAGGGTATTTTAGACAACAAATGCATTAGTGGCAGTTACAGTTCAAGAACAAAGAACAGAAAGCTTAAGCTAGAAAAATGGAAATACAAGAAATAATGAACTTGCCAATTGACACGGGATTAGCTCTGATGCAAGTTAGTGAGATTAATGTGCATTTTCTCCTACTGAGAAAAACAAAAGGAATCCTGTGTGCAGCTGAAGGCGTGACTGCAGAACTGCGTCTGTTACCAGTCATCTGTTCTGGCATTAAAATCTTGCTTAACTTGGGAATAAAATTTATCCCGATCTCTGACAGACAGGACTCACGGAACAACACCAAGTAGCCTGACTTACGCTAGTTCCCAGTAGAGAATCTTCAGCTTCTTTGTTTAGGGCTATTGTTTTAATTCCCAGGAGCCCCATCCTTTTCCACGTGTTCAGCTGCGAATAGAAAGGATTCTACCCTTATGTTGTGAAGAAACACGCCCTGCTTTCCCAGGCCTTTCCAGGACAGTGCAGCTCCAACAGCATCAGCACAAACATCATCTTATTTTTTCTAAGGCCTGGAAATCCAGCAGCATAAAATTCATTGTAGCCATGGCAATACAGCAGTGGATATGGGGAGAAATCACCATCACTGTGGCCATCTGCAGACCACCACATGAGTTTCTGAAGTACTTTTCCTTTTCTCACACCCCAATCTAGCTCATCTAATTAGGCAAATCTTACAATTGTGACACATCCCCATCAACACCACCCCCCCAAAAAAGCAATGCTCTAAAGAATGCCAAGGTATAAGGGGTTACAAATATTCAGACTTTATTATAAATAAGAAATACTGTTTTATACATAAAAACTGCAAGTGTTGCATTTTGTTCACCGCCCCAGACAGCAAGACCACAGATTAAGGCAAAAAGCTGGAGTGAAGGCACATACTGAGGGGGCCACAGTCAGGAATAAGGTGATGAAGGGACTGTCAAGCATTGCCCATGACATCCAGCACTCCACCAGCAGCTGTTGCATCATCACATTACGTACAGAAATAACTGGACTTATACACTGAATAATGGCTGTAATGCAGTAGTGATTAAGAGATCGCTTATAAAGATTTTTTTCATTTAAAAATAAAATTCTGTTAAAAACAGCTTAAGGGGGAAAAAGATAGAGAAGAAAGCAGGAAACCTTAGGCCTGAGGTCAGCCAGGGCATGCGTGCATCTTCGCATCTGCTCTTCTCACAGCCTTGGCAGAGAGGTGATGCGGTTACAACCAGCCATCTGACCAGAGCAGCCAGCCAAGACACCGACCTCAGCATCCCACACATGTGGGTGAGCACAGGTAAGCTCTCCTCCAGGTATTAGGTATGTTTGCAGGCAGGGTGAAATCCCCAGCAGGTACGTTGTAACAATCTTTAAGAGAAGGGGTACAAGAGTGATGTGGGGTTTGCTGGGAACAACCCCTGCCCAGCAGCGCCATTCCCGAGGGTGCACCAAGCCTCCCGCCTCACACAGTGGTATCAAGATATCCCCAGATGCCACACTCTGACCACCTCAACACTGGGTCCGGTCTCCCAACAGCGCTACAGCTCCTCACAGCCCAGCTGCAAAGCCAGAGCCCCTGTTCTCCTCCTGGCACAGCATCCCTGGTGGCAAATGACACAGAACAGGGTGCACCATGCATCAGGGATGGCTTTGGAGGGAGGGCTAGAAAGCATCCACCCTACAGGCAAAGTAGTATTGCTGATGCCCATATGGGTGCTGAGGATACAGGAGAGGGAAGAATGCAGGAGCTCAGCTAGGAGAAACACTGAACTCTAAGTGAATAACATGGAGAGGAGCGATAATACAGTGCACGCACCCCAGTAGCTATAAGGGAAAGCACATAGAGGAGGCCAGGCTGTGCCACTCTGGAAATATGGCTGAGTATATTTACACACACATACACACACACACGAGAGACTTCCTCACACTATAATCATGATAAAAACGGAAAAAAAAAAATAAAATCACATTCACACAAAAAATATAAATTTGAAATAATTAATAGCACCAGTGTGTGTCAGATAATAATTTCTTCCCCGCTACGCAAACGTACAAAGTTGCATAGTGTTTAAGGATAGATATATACTGGATCTCAGGGAAGGGGGGAGGGATGCCAGGCTGGAGTCAAAAAGGAAGCCACAGAGGATGCTCTCATCAAAAGAGGAGGGTCAGAGGAGGAGCAAGGGGCTCCCCGCTGCTCCCACCCAGCACCAGGAAGCAGCTGGGAGGCACTACCTAGGGAGGGAGCCTGCTGGGGAGGCAGTGGTTGCAGTGTGGAAGGCAGACCTGACACCGCAGCCTGGCCTGAAGTCCCTGTGCTGCGGTGGCTTTATGGTGACCGGGAGATCAGTAGACAGAAAGAAAGGTGGGCACGGGTAAACTCCATCTCTTTCTGCCAGCTTAAAAACAGGGAAAAAGCAAGAGCAATGCCAGGAGACAAAAATGCCACTGTCCTTCAGGAAAAAGATGGGGAGAAAGACCATTTCCACTTGCAAGCCGTCTTC